AAAACTAAGTTCATATCTAATTCATTTGGTCCCTGCCTAATTTCAGGAACATGTATGTTTATAGTGACAAGACAGTTATTCCCGCTACCATAGTCTAATGCCTTAATGATAACTTTAAAGAACTATTAGAGTGGTTTCTAACCTTATTTTACAGTAGAGACATTGCTAATTAATGTGGTGAATCTCTTTGATGATTAAACTTCATAAGCAACGAAGGATATTAAAATTAGCATTGAGACTTGGGTTGCGGTTTTATTTCTGTTCATTTGTTTGTTTAATCATAAATTCTTGCACTATTTTAGGTGCAGAAATTGCCCAGTCTTGTTGAATAATGTTATTTCAAATTTTTCATACTCTTTCCCTTCTCTTTATTCTTTGCTTCATTTTTGTATTGTTACTACTGTTTCGACGAATTGATATTCAGTCTTTTTTGGTTTTGAAGATGGAGCGAGGGGCTGGTGGTTTCTTATTTTGGAAGCAACACATTTTTGCAACTAAGGTTTATATTGGGTCTTGTCATTTTCAGTTTATTGCTGCAATGTGAATGTCAAAAAACTTCATAGAATTATTTGTGACTGTCCATAAACAAGCCAGGGCTGAACATTATGACACTGTACCAAAGTCAGAGACAGCCTTCACGGTTGTCTCCTCATTTAGCACTAAAATGGACTTTATGTTTGAAAACCCTACATGTACAGCCAAGAACTGTTTCTGTAACAGGCTAGGGCCAAAGATGAGAGCTTGTTTTAATTTGCGGTAGAATTGGCTCTTGGAGTGTAGCAAAAGCCAATTTAACTTCTCTATTTCTTTAAGGACCATTGAAGAAATGCCGACACCTTTTAAAATACTCAGTTATCTTACCTTTCAAAAATACAGCAGTGAGATTCTTATAGTCAATGAATTTTATGGATTAAACTTCACATGCAGTAAGTATTAAAAAAAAAAAAAGGCCTTTAAATCCATTGTAAATAATTTTAATAAGATGTCAGTGCTTATTTTCCTTCTACATACAATAAAAGAATCTTGATAAGTTAAAGATAACTTCTTAAAAAAACCTTATTAATTAGTAATATGTACTATAATGCCATATCATAGAATCACAGAATGGTTTGGGTTGGAAGGGACCTTAAAGACCATCTAGTTCCAACCCCCCTGCCATGGCCAGGGACTCCTTCCACTAGACCAGGTTGCTCAAAGCCCCATCCAACCTGGCCTTGAACACTTCCAGGGATGGGGCATCCACAACTTCTCTGGGCAACCTGTTCCAGTGCCTCACCACCCCCATAGTGAAAAACTTCTTCCTTGTATCTAACCTAAATCTACCCTCCTTCGGTTTAAAGCCATCACCCCACTGTCCTATCACTACATGCCCTTGTAAAAAAAGTCCCTCTCCAGCTTTCCTGTAGGGTCCCTTCAGGTACTGGAAGGCTGCTAGGTCTCCCCAGAGCCTTCTCTTCTCCAGGCTGAACAACCCCAACTCTCTCAGCCTGT